ATTTAAATGATTCAGTGAGTAGTTTTGTAAAGTGACCTTGTCACTTTTCTGGTCTCTATAACCATTCTGCAAAATCGCTAAAATATAACTATTTTCAAGAAGCTTGTCTGCTTTGGCATTCACATGGTGTGAGGGGTTTCACAATTCCTTGCACATGATTAGCAGATACTGTTGCTCATTTATGAGCATTTAGACGACCTGACCTTCTGGTTAATATATATATATATAACAAATCAGATTTCTTAGGTTGCTGCAAAATATGTTGAGCTGACCCTGGGGACAATCTAAAGTTCTTTCCACCAAGAATGCATGGGGGAAGGATGGGAGAAACCTAGGACATGAGAGGATTTGGGTCCCAGGCCAAATCTGTGGACACCCTTGGACTTATAGAATACTGGAGGAAAAGATGCTTTAAGAAATAAGGTAAAATTAAACTGTTGCCCAACAAGAAATACAAAAGAAAAAAAATTAACCTAGGTCACAACCAGTAACTCCTATGCTCAAGAACGGGGAGCCCCACACCTTCAAGACACCGTTCTCTGAGGCTACCTTCGTATAGCCGGACGCCAGGGCCTGGGCAAAGCAGGCAAAACGAAAGCCTCGGCTTCCCGCCGCACTGTGCGGCCTCTGAAGTTGGGCGGGGAGAGTGACTTTTTCGTTTGGTTTGCAGCACTGGAGAGGCAACTAAGCGTGGGCAATGAGAGGTCTGAAAACTCCGGATGAACTTCTTTCCTCCTTTTTGTCGTTCTTCCTTTAGGACCGGCTGCAAGAGCCCTAGGTCTTGGAAATCAGCTTGCAGGACTCAGTAACTGGCGCCCGCGGGTTCCCTGAAGGCAGTGGTGGACAACGACGACGCTGCGCGTGACTTGACGAAAGCTTCGTTGCCGGACGAGTGGTTGAGGAACCAGAGGCCGGTGCCGCACACCAGGTGCTTAGGCACTAGATCGGCTGGTGCGCCCCAGGACACGTGGCCTTCTGCCACCACAGCACTCTAGGACCTCCAGCGCCAGACGTGCGTTCATCCCCGCCGGCCCCATCGCCTGGAAACAATCAAAAATTTCAATTTGGGATTTTTCCTGAGTGAACAAGAGCCCAAAGTCTTTTGCTCAAGACTGGATCTAATCCTTTGTTCTGTGCTTCATATCGATTTTTGAGGGATTTTTTTTTTTTACCTTTGACTTTTGATTTTCTTTTTCTTGACAATCCCGCAGCTGTTTATTATTGTTATCACTATTATTGTTATTTTCTCTCCCCGCATCAAGCCTTGATCGGCGGGGGAGAGGGAGGACTCGGAAGCGGAGAACTCCAAGGCACAATGTACCAGAGCCTGGCCATGGCCGCCAACCACGGCCCCCCTCCTGGAGCTTATGAGACAGGTGGGCCCGGAGCCTTCATGCACAGCGCAGGCGCTGCGTCCTCGCCCGTCTACGTTCCCACACCGCGGGTGCCGTCCTCAGTTCTGGGCCTGTCTTACCTCCAGGGCGGAGGTGGAGGCTCTACGTCTGGAGCTGGCTCGTCAGGCAGTTCGGGGACTGCCCCATCAGGCGCGGGTCCGGGGACCCAACAGGGCAGCCCAGGCTGGAGCCAGGCAGGAGCAGAGGGAACCGCCTACACACCGCCGCCGGTATCTCCGCGCTTCTCCTTCCCTGGGACCACTGGGTCCCTGGCGGCCGCTGCAGCGGCCGCAGCGGCCCGGGAAGCAGCTGCCTACAGCAGTGGCGGAGGGGCTGCAGCTGCGGGCCTGGCGGGTCGCGAGCAGTACGGACGTGCCGGCTTCGCGGGCTCCTACTCTAGCCCCTATCCCGCCTACATGGCTGACGTGGGGGCGTCCTGGGCTGCAGCCGCTGCCGCCTCCGCCGGCCCCTTCGACAGCCCAGTTCTGCACAGCCTGTCTGGCCGGGCTAACCCCGCCGCCCGCCACCCCAACCTCGGTGAGTACTGAGCGCCGGCTGGCTAGCCTTGGAGCGTTTGCGGGCCGATCGTTTGCGGGCACACGCCCTGTTTGGAGCTGATATTTGTTCACTAGTAGCTACAGAGGAGTTCTGGTAGCATAGTGCCTAAGGCACTTGACTGCTAATCAGAAGGCTGGCGGTTCAAACCCACTAGCTACTCCTTGGAAGGAAGGTTGGGAAATCTACTTCCATAGTAATACTGCCTCGGCAACCCAAGGAGGGGTCACTATGAGTCGGATCCGACTTGACGGCACATAGCAACAGTAGCTACAGAGGAATGTTGATGCCATCAAGTTTCCAAGGAAGGCAAACTGGAAAAAAGAAGCTGGCGGCCTGGGGACAGTTACGGTGGTGGAGGTCACAGCCTCTAGGAGACCAAATTTTGCTGAGTGAGGGTGGGCCTGCCGGTGAGATCCTCTTTTGAAAACGAGGGAGGCTGGATGGTGGCACGGGCCTGAGCTAGGGGCTCATTTTGCGAGTCTGCTGCTCTGCTGTAGATGTTGGGTCTGTCTAGGCCCAAAGTGTGCCTGGGTAGTGAGTGGTCTATAGCTGACTCTATGGGAGGCCAACAGGGCTTACCCAGAGAGCTATAAATAAAGGGCAGCCTGGGTAGCCCTTGGTGCCAGGTGCAAGTGATCCCTGAGTTTCTGTTCCCATTTCCTCCCGGCTCTCCTCGGAGGCCTCTGCCGGGAACTGATTAAATTGGTTTGGGCCAGAGATGTTCTGTGCCATTTATTGGCCCAGTTGGAGGATCCCTCCGGGTGGCAGATGATTTTTCTGTTCGGGATTTCACACTGTGAACTAAGGATGAAGGGAGCAAAAGAGAACACCTAGGAGGTGGGTTGAATTGAGGCTGGCACCCTGCAAATGTCTTGGGGTTGTGCTGCCTGTGTGGACAGACACTGGACACAGGGAACATGCATCAAAATTCCACCTCATGTCCATGTCCAGAACACATGAAGCCCAGAGAGCTTCTTTTTAATGCCTTAGGTAAATGAACACTTAGCTGCAATGTGGTGAGCCCCTCTTGTCCTGAGTTCTGGGGTTAAAAATAACAGGAGTGATGGGTACAACTTAATATTTCCATGGAATATCAGACCTTGATAAGAATCTAAATATGTCCCCTTTCTCCTCAGTTTATAGGTGTGTCAACTGAGTTTTGAGAAAGAGCCCTAACATTCTAGGCTGAAACAGAAAGGGAAATGGCCACCACTAGTTCAAAATGAAGACAGCCTTTGGTCTTCTGGAATTTCAGGAAAGGAGAGGAAAACTGAGTTTGGATTGAGATGGTTTCTACGGGGGAGGGGAAGCTCAGACTTGAGAAACAAAGTTAACATTTACTGACTACACACTAAGTGCTAAATCTTTTTGCATTTGTTCTCACTTTGAAGAATAAAGCCTATCTCCCTCCCAAGTTTCTAGTCTTGGGTTGGCTCAGAGAAAGGCTCCAGCTTTGAAGAGCTTTTAAATTATCCTCTGACCCTGGGTGGCCAGGGAAGGTTCCCAGGGGGTTCTAGTCAAATACACATCTCAGGTAAACTGATTAACCGTGGAAGTGGCGCCGGGCTTTGTCTATGGCTCCTAGTGTTCCCCTCCTCTCACGGGGGAGCCAGACGGCACTCCCCAGGGAGGCGGGGCTGCGGCACCAAGCCTGGGGGGGAGGATCTTGAAGAGATAGTGAATATAGTGCAGATCTCCATACAATGGCCATGTGAGGATGGCGTGTTGGGGTGGGGACACTTTGGCCCTGCAGTCTTAGAAACTTCTCCCTTGGGCCTCTGATTTAAAATGGGGAAGAGTGGTTTTGTCCCCGTAGTCCAACTTCTTTCAACTTGGCAGTTGCTTTGTAACCTCTATAATCCCAGAAGAAGAATTTGTTTTTGGTTAAGGAAAAGAGAGAAAGTCAAAATCCAAAAATGGAGGATACATTTTGATCATCAGAATCACAACTGCAATAGTGTAAAAAAGCATGACACTCAGTGTGCCATTTTAAAATGTAACCCATAACATGCATGCAAGTGCTGAAGAAATTTCCCAAATTCCAGTGTCAACAAACGGCAAGCTGACTTTCAGGGGGCTCTATCCTTGCTTGCCAAGTATGGTCTGTCTCCCACTAGTTTGTGAAGTTCCACCTGAAGAGAACCTCTTGGGTCTGCCCTAGCAGTTGGCTTTCTCTTGCACATAACCAACTATTTATTTATTTAATAATTTCAAGAGCTTGTTTTACATTCAATGTCACGTGCACATTTAGTTTCATTCCCCATTCACCATGTCCAACCCTAACCCTGTCCCCTCCCCTCCCTACCCTGTAACCCTCCCACTGTGCCCTCATATTTATGCACTCCTGTTTGTCCTACATTTCCTCAATTTGAATGCTGATCCTCTGGTGTCCGGTGGTCTATTGCTCTAAGGGATGTATTACCATAGAGTATGTGGGTGCATCATCCTGGGTTGAGTGGTCTGCATGTACATCTTGTTAACTATTGGGCTGAGAGTCTGCCCCTGGGGGTGATTTTTATTCCAGGTGCAGAATGTATTCCAAGTATTGGGGGTCTCACCAGATTTTATCTGACTAGTAATTCTGGTCATTATTGAGTTTTTGGATTTTGTTCCACATTTTCCCTCTCACTCTATCCAGGACTCCAGATTTGATCCTTTCCTGAGTGCATAACCAAGTATTTTAAATGGTAAAGCCATGAAAGTTTCATGTTACCTTTATGAGGAAACACAGTGCATGTTGAATTTGTGGCATTTAGATCTTCAGCATGTTTTCCATATGTAACTTATATAAAAGAGAGTTAAATTAAAAGCGGTAAATATAACCATGCTTTATATATATGTATTCTTCCTGTCACTCAGGCCTTCCTCTAAATGCCTGGTAAGCCTTTGTGAATACCAATACCTACATATTAGCAGACACATTGAATGTTGAAGGATATAATACTCTAAGTGATTACTAATTCTATTGTATTTATTGAGTGCTCACTGTGTATTATTACCACAGGGCCCTAAGGGGGGGGGGAACCACAAAAAACCCAACTCACAGCCATCCAGTTGATTGGGAGTCATAGGGACCCCCTTTGGGTTTCCAAGGTGGTAAATCTTTACAGGGGAGCTCTGGTGGCCTAGTGCCTAAGGCACTTGACTGCTTACCAGAAGGCTGGCAGTTCAAACCCACTAGCCACTCCTCTGAAGGAAGGTTGGGCAATTTACTTCTGTAGTGATACTGCCTCGGAAACCCAAGGAGGGGTTGCTATGAGTCTGGGTTGACTCAACAGCACATAACAACAACAAATCTTTACAGAAGTAGACTGCCCCATCTTCCTTCCATGGAGTGGCTGGTGCTAGCCTTCTGGTCAGCAGTCAAATGCCTAAGGCACTGCACCACCAGAGCTCCTTATCCCTAAGATGGTGATGTAGTGCGGCAGTACTAGCATAGGCTTTTGGAGCCAGACAAACCTAGGTGCAATCTGGGTGCCCATGTGATTTGGGCAAGTGACTTAACCTCTCTCAATCTCACTTCTTTTCCTATAAAATGAAATAATCATAACTACTTTTACTGTTGTCTTAAATCTTAAAAATAAGGTATTGTTGATGAAATACATGTCTTTGGCTCCTGATAAATGATGGCTATTTTATTAATTATTTCCTTGGGGCCACTCCCTGTCATGCTGGTGAGCAGTCCTAGTTTACTTGGAACTGAGATGTTCCCAGGATGTCAAATTTTTGTGCTAAAGCTCAGACAGGGCCTGGAAAACCATGATGGTTGGTCACCCCAAACAGATAGGAAAATGGGTAAGTGACCTAGAGAAGGCAGAGGAAGGAACCACTAGATGACCAGGAATCTGGAAATCTTCACCAAAGTGGTGACATTTGGATTTGTTCTTAAAGGAGGAGTAGGAGTTTGCCAGAAAAAATTATTCTGTCTTGACCACAATGTATATGGGCTTTAACTGATTTCAAGTTCAATATGAGCTAAGACCCAGAAAAAAACTAATTGAAATTGCTAATTAGGCTGCATTCATGAAATTATGTGATCTTACTGAGGACAGGTTCAGAGTCTTACTCATATTTAAGTGCCTGGCACATGCTGGCCACTTAGCAAATATTTGAGTAGAGATCTAGGAGGTTAATTGCCCCAGTACTCTGCCCTGGTCAAACCACATACAATGGCTTGTTTCTAGTCCTTAATAAAGGCAAACTGGAGAGCTAGCAGGAAGGGGTGGCTAGGATGGGGGAGGGTTCTAGAAACCTTTGGGAACCATTGAAAGAAGAAGGGCTGTTTAGCTTAGAGAAGTCACTAAGTGAATAAGAAAAGTAGGGACAGGGAGATTGTACACAGATATCTAAAGGGAAAAATGCTATGGCCTTTTACTTTTGCTCTAGGTGAGAAGACACCAAGTTTGAGAAGAATACTTTCTCATACATGATTGTGGTTGTTTGTGAATGGAATGGTTTGCCTTAATAATAAACCCATGGGCACTGAAAGTGTTCAAGTAGAAATTGCACTGCCATCTGCCAGAGGAACTGTGGAGGGAATTCTTGCATTTCAAAGGGATAGGGTTCATTTCTTTTGTGTGCAAGTGAGCTATCTATTGCAGGATGATATAGCTGTCTCCTTTTATGGAACCCATTCCCAGTAGCTCCACAGGTTTATAAATTTGTCAAAACTCATTGAAATGTACCCTTAAAATTGGAGTATTCTATTGTAAAACACTTCAATGAAGTTCATCTTTTTTTTTTTTTTTAAGTACCATTTAATACAAGTGGAAATCATATGTATATATACTTTGAAGGATATAGCATAATGATGTTCTAGGAAAGACTATGAAAACATATTTTACAATGGAATAACAATGCTTTTATTCTTTCTTTCTTTCTTTTTTTTTTTTAATTGTGATTTGGGTGAAGATTTACAGAGCAAATTCACTTTCCATACAGCAGTTCACATATACTTTGTCTCATGTCAATGACCACAG